TGCGTCCTCTTATAGAACTAGCTCGGATTTTTTAACAATGTTTTCCACACTTCGGGCCTACGTTTCTTACAAGGTTTGTATATATATTACATAGAGTTATACTAATTACAAAGCTTTTATTCATATCCAATTTCGAAAACGTTTCCTGAACATTCAAGAATCAGAAAGTAAGCCTAAAATAGTTAAACGAAATACTTCTAAGAATAGTTACACTAGAACAGTTAACGGAGCTATCCCACTTTTGACTAGTCTAACGATTTAGCATCCTCCTGCAAAATATTTTATTTCTTTATTTTTGTTGAAACATTTAGAGAATTCATGATGACATGGAGAAAGATTAGAAAAGATAGTTAGTTTGGTTAACGAAGATAAAGAAAACATTTGTTTACGACTGTTATATTATAGTCTTTCAAACCTAGTCCACAGGCAGTAGCTTAACGTGTATTATATTGAGAAATGTCACTTTTAAATGTTACTTTTTAAAAATATTATTTTTTAAAAATATTTGTAAAAATGTTATTTTTTCAAAATCATTTATTTAATATATCATTTATGTTTGAGCTAACTATATTGTATTAGGGTTTGATTTTAATGATTTAGGGCTTGTTTGGCATTAAAACTTTTTTTCGGGTTTAGATTGTTACGATTTAGGGTTTCAAAATCCTTAATTACTGGCATTTTTTAAATAGATAATCTATAATAATATTTTTTAAAATGGATACACCAAAAATGATTTTTTTTCAATTACTCTTGTTTGTATTTTCTTTATAAACTTTTTTAACTATATTTCTACATCAAGAAATTATGAAATTCCTAACATATCTCTTCGAGATGATGATTTCTATCTTTTCATCATGACATGGTTGCTTTACTACATCAACTACATATATGATTTAATCAGACCACTTTCGGATCGAATCAGTAAAATCAAATTTTTTTTTTATCAAATTTATCGATGTTCGAATTGGATCATATAATTTCAAATTATAATGTTATGCTACATTTTATTAGTTTGTAAATAGTTAGTACATAACATCTTAGAACACTTCCATTAGAAGTCTCTTGCATTAAAAAATTAATAAAATGATGAAAAAAGAGAGAGAGAGAATGACGAGAGTCTCTTGCTTGAAAGACTATGAGATACGAATAAGAGATCTATATGCCAGTTGTCCTTTTATGATTGG